CGCAGCAGCGCGACGAATAATGCATTTTATTGACTCGCGCCCGATCATTACGGGCGGCGCAGTGGGGGAGCAAAACTGCGAGTCAATGCGCGGAGTCTGAATTCTTAGATAGCGATCAAGAGGAGTAACTCTCCAAGTACCACCCGCATAAGCGTGCCGCTTCCTCGAGTCCGCTGAAAGGAAGCAAGAAAAGAGGAGGAACGGGGCGAGCTGCCGTCCATGCGCACCGATCCGGAGCTGACGAGCTAGAAATAAACGTAAGTTCCCAGGGAAAATTGGTGAGACGGTTTTTCATCATTTCTTAAAGGCAGGAAAATTGCAACGAGCCGGAAAGGCTAAAAGAAACACAGCAAAAGGGAAGTCGAGCGACGGAGGGCTGGCGCGAGGGGGAGGGGGCGGCGGCGGCGGCGGCAGAGGGATAATGCGCGCGCGAAAGAAATGTCGGGGAGTCGGGGGTCAAGAGCTGCTGGAAATCCGGGAGATTGAAATTCGAGGCGTCTCCGCGTCCGCTCGGACGGTCCTCCTTATTTACGGGACTTTCAATTACACCGATGCGGCACCCAGCCCGCCGTAATGTCGGTCATTCTTCTTCGGTAGCTCGCGTCTCGCGCGACCTACGACTACGGTAATGCCGTTAAGTCAGCTTCCCGTCCGCGCTTACGTACGCTTATGTACGTATGTACGTGCAACAACCGTTCCGCTTATTTCCTTCTTTCGCGCTAGATTCGAACATCAAGGCGGCGTCGCGCGAAATTTTCTACGGCCGTTGTTATTAATTGCGATAATAGCACGGCCTGATGGACACCGCCTGTCGGGCAACCGGAATATGGTCGCCGTTGAATATGGCAGGACACGTTTCCGACTGTCCATCAGAGGATAACGTGATTAATAAATTCTCGTAATCAAAATCTCTGATTAAAGCCGGCTATAGAATTATCAGGCGACCTAATTCCAGCTTTCGGGCCGAGCATATTTATCCGACGTGATTGTCATTAATTTAGCGTCATGTTACTTGTGACACGTGAGAGCAACGAATGAAGCGTGCATGCGATCGAGTTTGTGATTCGAGACTACGCGGATAACGCGAAAAAATAGATTTTCGCGCGGCACCGCAGAGAGAGAGAGAGAGAGAGAGAGAGAGAGAGAGAGAGAGGGGGAGATAAGGGAGCAAAGTCGAGATCTAAGGAACAGACGAGCTTCTGAAAACATTGTCTGGCGGAGGCAACGTTTTCGGGGCAATGAAGCATGAAACGCTTAACTACGGCGTGACATTTCTCCATGGCGGCCTTCCTGAAGACCTATGAAAGAGGCGCGCGTCCTTTCGTCTGGAACACAGACACCCACGAGGCCTCTCCCCGCCCTCAGCAAGAGTAATCTCGAAGGACATCTTTCAAATATTTGAAGCGATCGAAAATGTCATCCAGGCAGGGACGCTCTGGCCTTTCCGCTCTTTCACGGGCGAGCAGAAAGATCGGTCCGACTTCAAGTTGATTAAAAGAAGAAGGACAAAAGCTCGCAGGCAGCGAAAAGCTTTCTTGCGTCGGCGCTTATAGAAAAATGCCGGGGGGGACATCACTGAGCGAAGGAGATGGCGGAGCGAAGGAGATTGATTCGAGCCGGCTCAGAAGCTCAGAACTTTGTCAGGCGTACACCTAGACGTTCGTGCATGCGTGTACACGTCGGCGCGGTATAATCGACGCGGTCAGATCAATCCGAAAATACACACACGCACATGCACACGCGACGTAAAAGCGCTATATTTATCGGTGCGCTCAAACGACGCGCACTCCTGGGAGAAACTCGCTTTCATCGCAAACTACACTTCTGTTACTAGGCTCCCTTTCTTCCCGCGTGCACGTTCCCGACCGAGGGGCGCGGCGGCGCGGCGGAACGGTTCCGCCGAGCGATAATCTTGCGGAAATAAAGTCGACTCTCCGTGATGCGCGAAGAACCAAAGTCTATCTATACTTTCGCGCGTGTACCTGCGCGATACCATCTACAACGTATTATTCGCACCCTTGTTTCCAGAGTAGATATCCGCGTATCTAATCGATACGCCTAACCTCTGACCTATTATCACAGCTCGCTAACGAGTTCTTCCTCGCTGCGAGATATCGTTTCGCGGTACTTAGTCCCTGGCAGTTTCACTGAATCGTCCGATAAATCCCTTCGAGATACGCGACGATTAAAGACGCCACGGTCACTAAGACTCGCTGATCCTTCATTCTAAAGCGCCCAACAGACGTTACAATTTATAGGACAAGTTACGAGCGGATGAATTATATCGCGAGATATATATATATATGTGTGTGTGTGTGTGTGTGTGTGTGTGTGTGTGTATACCAATGGATTAGGGAACCAATTTGTCGTACGACCCATTGGTTGGCCTTAGTCACAGCGACTCGACCGTACTCTTCGTTCTCGCTAAAGGCTTGTCAGCGACGAGTCGTTGACGCTTTTAACTCGCTCGCTGCGCGAGGCTTCTCTCGTGACCCTTCTAATCGCGCGCGATATCGTTCGATCGCTCGCATGTAACGAAATGGCGATTGGACTCGCTACTTTGTCTCGCGACTAAAGAACTCGCTACTTTGAATCACAAAGTAGCCTCGCCACACAGGCGGCGTTTCCCTCATTTCTAATTGATTACGAAATCCCGTGATTCCCTAATCGCGGGGACACATTGTAAATCGCACAACTCACGCTTGGAATCTTGGTCAGTGGAATAGAACGTGCACGATCTTGATTGGTCTGATTCGCCTCTAACACTTTACAAGCTCGCCAGGTTTACACGCTCCTGTTGTAAGACTATGCGCGCAACCTGATGCACGATACGCGGCTGAAACATTGTGCTGACTCACATCGGTCGTAGGGTCAAGGCTTTCCTTACGCCCTAAGCGTTCGGAGCGAACGCACTAGCCTCGGCTAGAGCGTGCGCGATGCTATCGCCGGTCTAATTCGCAGGAGTCATCAATGAGCTTGACTCGGACTCGGCGCGCGCTTGCGGCAGCCGCGAGTAACGATTTGTATTTCCTCCAGAGCGGCAGAGAGCGGCGGAGAATCGCGACTCGGGTATCTCGCGAACAATAGCTCGCCATCACGTGTACGTCGCTGTAATTGGACTCATTATCGTATCTCCTCAACGGCGTGCTGATCCGCTAACACGCTAATCCGCTGAGCAGCGCCTTTTATCTAGCGCCAGCGACGCTAATGGCAGCCGCGCGGCTAATTTCGAGCGATCTTGATCGGCCGAGCCACTCGCGGTCAAAGGTCGCTCGTATGTACGCGCTTGGCCGAGTCAGTCAACGTGAGCGCGCGGGGTGTCCTTTAGCGGGTCAAGGCGCCGCCGCGCCGCGCCGCGCCGCGTCGCGCCGTTTCGCGGCTCTCCAAGTTTTCCGCTCTCGTATCGAGAGTAATATATCGTCGCTGAAACTTTCCGAGGCGAGAGATGCGCGATAAGTGCGCTAAATACGCGACACGAACGAAACACCGACACACAAAGGTGCGATTGCAGAGCCCGCACTCCTCTCTCTCCCGCTCTCGTCTCCCCGTCTCTTTCCGAGACCGCCTCGATCGTCTCGATTGATGCACGCGGTGATTTATTCGCGTAATTGCGATCCACCAATCGCGTGGATATCGCCAAGATATCGCGCGATTTCTACCAAGGTCGTACCGCGCGCGGCTTCGCGTGATCCCGGGAGCTTCTCCCGGCGCCTTCGCCAAGTGGTTACATACGATCTTGGTCAGGCCGCTGAGTCAAGCAGAAATCGCACGTACACGGTTGCTCTACTTAGCGGAACCGGAATCGGCTGCAGCCCGCGTTGTGCCCGTTAGATCTCGGGCTCTCGTAGGTAATGCGAAACGGTATCAGCCCGCGCGGACTCAAGGGCCGTTTGTTTGGCTGACCGAGACCATCCGTATCTACTGACCCGTTAAGTCAAGAACAGACCCGCTGCACTTTATGCCCCGAACCCTCGGGCGTATCTACCTCTCGCGCTCGTGTATGTCATGCAGGCTGTTACAATATCTTCTCTCGAACTTGTCCTCGAGAACAATGCTAATCCCAATATCTATATCAGTTCAGGAAGAGTTGGCGCGCGGCAGTGTTCCAAGGGCCGGCCCCCGGTAACAGATCGTCTCAACGCGTCCCAACTTTGCGAAACGCGATAAATAGTAATTGCCTATTGCGCTAATCTCACCGTCGCGATATATCGCCTGTGAGAAGAATGTTTAACGATTTGCGAGTTTTGCAGGGAAAAAGAATCAGCGTCTGTGCTGAGTTGCGTCGTTGCGCGCCGAGCCGATAATGAATTACTTTCCCAACTCCCCCCGGAGATGTTCTTATATCGAATAATTGTACGATTTTATATATATTATAATTTCACAACGTTCCAAATCCAAACACCTCTCTCCTGCTATCGTATGTTCCGAGATTCGAATGAAATTCTGCCTATTTTATTTATTTTATATTACTACTATTTTAATTGATTTAATAAAAATACTAATTAATTAATTGAACGATATAATTTAATTAAGAGCAGTATTAAATCAAATATTAAACGTTATACGCGAGAATTTTATGTATATGAACAGAGAGAACGATTTAGAGTTGAATCTAACAAATGCTTATTTGGAATAATACAAAGAAATTTTTTGATTGATCGCAACAAAAACATTTCGTTGGAACTAAGCTGCAACAAAATGTTTTTGTTGCGTCAAACAAAACTTTGTTCGATCAACCAAAAAATTTATTTGGACTATTCCAAATAAGCATTTGTTGGATTCAACTAAATCGTTCTCTCTCTCTGTGTGTGTGTGTGTGCGTGCGTGCGTGCGTGCGTGCGTGCGTGCGTGCGTGTGTGTGTGTGTGTGTGTATGACACACAAATAATTATGGTAATTTTTTTTAAAACACCCGCCTTTGCGAGAGAGAGAGAGAGAGAGAGAGAGAGAGAGAGAGAGAGAGAGAGACAGACGCGAGATGAGATTCTCGTTTGTTTGCAGAACTGGCGGCGGCAGTATGCTGGGCGACGTGAACATCTCGGCGATACTGGACTCGTTTTCCGTCAGTTACGATAAAAGAGTAAGGCCGAACTACGGAGGTGAGTAAGGATTCGATTTTTCCCACCTTTCGATTGCCGAGATCATTCGACCACCCTGGCGTGGAGTCTATATCGTGCGCAAAACTTGTCAGTCTCACACGTTCAACGGGATCGTACAAGAACCGTGAAAGAGAGAGAGACGTAGTAGTGATTAACATCGGACGATTCTCGCACGGCCGGACGCGCCAAGTGACACGCGCGCCGCGGCAAGTTTTGCGTTCGACGCAAAGCTTTCTCCGTTCTCATTGTTTCTCTAGTCGTTGCACTATTGCGTGAACTTAAAACCATTACCTTGCAGCCAACGAGAATGACGGAGTTGAGCGATGAAAGAGCCCAAACATTGACACACCGGCAAAATCCAATCAATTGGCGGAAGAATGGGAAAACCAGCGCGCGACTCTTTTAATTCCGCTTCGTTCGCTGCAAGCGCAGAAAAAAGCTTTTTACGTGTGCTCGAGTGAAAAAAAAAAAAAAAAAGAAATAACCGGTACCCCGTACTCCATCTTGATGCAGCGCTGAGATAAAAGAAGCTAAAGGAATGCGTTGATAGTGGATAAAACGCAGGCACACAAACACGCACATACACACAGAGACAGAGAGAGAGAGAGAGAGAGAGAGAGACAGGATATAGACTAGAAACAAAACAGAACAAAAGGATAAAAGGAAAGAAAAAAAGAAATTAAATGGACGAAATCGATACGCGATAAATCAAGATATAAAACACAAGCTTTCGAATTGGTGTAACAATGGCGCGACACAGCAGTAAAGCTCCGACAAAACGCTCCGGGAAATATTTTTGACGCCGCTTACCATCTCCCACGTTTATACTACAAAAACGCCACGCTCTCTCGAGCATACTACCGCCTCCATAAAACAACTCTGACAGAAACGGCGCGGCAGCACGTGTACACACGGATCGCATCCTGTTTCCCCCGGCAAAGGAGTAATTTGCCGTTTACCGCGCGTCTCGACCGCGGACTACCGAAAAAAGGAATACCGATAAAGCGACGCGGCAGACAGCCCGCTCTATCGCAGATAGAAAGGCACAGAGAGAGAGAGAGAGAGAGAGAGAGAGAGAGAGAGAGAGAGAGAGAGAGAGAATGAAGGGGAGGGAGAGAGAGTCAAACACAAAGCTCGACGTGCATATTCTCTCTCTCTCTCTCTCTCTCTCTCTCTCTCCCCCTCTCCTTCTCTCGATAAATTCGCGAAACGCAAATCGCAAACTTCCACGCGACTCGTACGGAAGGAAGGACTTTTGCGCGAGACGGGTCGCTTTAAATAAATACAGCCGGGCGGTTATCGCGCGCGTGAGCGGTGCGATTTTGTGGTCGAATAAACGGTATGCTTATAAAACACGGGGATATTAAAGAGCCATTAAGCCGGTTTCGAGTGAGCGCGCTCGAGAGTCGGCTAGGAGCAATTAGTGCCTCCCAATGGACGATTCGTCCCACTTTCGCGGCTTGGCTCGGCTCGGACCGGACCGACCGGCCGAAAAGTCGCCGCGACTCGGGCTCGCTTCGAACACAGCAGCAGCAGCGGCAGCGGCGGCGGCGGCGGCGGCGGCGGCGGTGCCGATAATCGGTGCCGGAATGCCACGATTATGATTCATGCGATTCGGCGATTCCACCGCGACAAAGTCGCATTTTCGGGGGTGGCCTCGCGGAGGCAGGGCGGGGCTGGAGCGCGCTTCGATAAAACTCGGATCGATGCTGGGAAGCCCCGCGGGTTGCCACGGGTTACCGTTAACGGTATCTCCACGGCGCACTACGCGCGCGGACACGCTGCATCTCGCCTTCGATTGCGATTTTCATTCCGTCGTCTCTCGTCGTCTTTGCACTCCTTTTGTCCCAGATTCTATTCCGAGGGCCAGCGCGCGCGGATAGATATCCCGTATTTTCGGCCACGCGACGCGAATCGCTAACGAAGATGACGTTCGGCTTCGCGCCGCCGCCGCTCTATTTCGCCGTTCTTTCTCCCGCTCTCTCGGTCCCCGCCGCCATCGTCCGAAGGAATTGGACATTTCGAGAAAAAGAAAAAAAAAAAGACGTTTGACCGAGAATCACTTTGGTTCTTTCATTTTTGTGGGAGCTAAAAACGTTTCGCCGGCTTATCGATTGACACACGGGATATTCTTGGTTTCAGTTACAGCTGCCGATGTGTACGGGAGGTTACATGTAAAAGTTAAGCACCGGGCGAGGCGAAAAGCGGAAAAAGAATCGGCTGAATAATTAAGACGCTCGATATGTGTCTCGGAGGCGGTTAAAATTACGAGACGCAATTACAAATTCTCGTGCTACGCAATGAGGCAATGAGAACGAAATATGAAATGCGCATTTGGCGCGTTATCGCGTTTAATCGCGCGCTCTCGCGATATTAATTGTTCCGCGCGCACGTGTATTTGCGTTACGTCGAATAAATATGTTCGTTTCATTAGACCGAGAACGAAAAGTGGCCGCGATCGAGCGAGCGTTTATCGGCCGACTTTTAGTAGACAACGCGGCGCACCCTAACCGATTGAAATTGATCGGCAACATCGTGGGAAGCATGGGCTATCTTGATTTCCCAGGCTTCGTCGGGAGAAAGATACATTAGTAATAACTCACTTTGCAGTAAAGCCGCGGGGCGATCGGCGAGCGTGAAAAGCGGTCGTCTCATTTTCCGTGGGATCACGTATATGGGTTACCGCCGGTAGATCGCGGAAAAGTCGCGCTAAAGCGTATCGTCTCGATTCGTATATCGCCGATATCCGCGCGCGCCTCGCTACGCTCGCGTAGCCGCGTACACGCGAGGGATCTCGCCGGGTTTTAACATTTAAAATTTAGATCGGTACGGACATTACGGAAACGGACGCGAACGCCTTGAGTGAGCGGGATAAACACACACACACACACACACATACACACGGCGTCGCTGCTGCTCGCTCTCATCGATTCGCGGCGCTTCGTTGGATATTCCCCGGAGCGCGGCCGGATTTTCAAACACGAGCTACGCCACGGCGCGGCGTCCAAGGCCTACGTGAAATGACAAAACACGTGACAGGAAACTCGAAATGTTTGCATTCCATAAACTAGTCCGTCGTATAACGGCCGTAAACAACAACTTTCGGCGACCTCGTTAAAAGGGAAAAACTCCGGAGCGACGGCGACGGAGTCTCGGCTCTCTCGCAGACAGGATCGCGAATATATCGTTGAATTTGATATCACCGGCGGAACAAAACACACACACGTACACGCGCGATTATTAATTTCTGCTCCTTTCTCAGTCGCGTCACACACGTTGCTCGTGTACTCTCTCCTCCTCTTATTTTTTCGGGCGTACGCCCTCATGGGCGATCGGTTTGCACGGACGACACATACCGGCCCGTTTCAATTAACTCGATACCACGTCGCCCGTGCGTTTCCCGGCGTGTACGCGAGAACGTCATTGTGAAATATGTGTCCCATATGGGACGTTCCTCGGCTATAGGGCTTTAAAAACATCCTAGAAATGGAAATGAAGATATATCGGTCGAGTGGCGCGCGATGGCGTTGGCAGAGCCGTTGTTTACGAGTCAACTTTATCGCGGAAACGCCAACGTGAACACGTATACGCGCCTGTATTCGCCACCCCTTCCCCGGCCGCCCCACCGTCCCCTCAACAACCGGTTCTTTCCATCTGCACCTGGCTTTCCGCCCTCTTTCACCCTCTGGATGAAATTTCGCTCATAAAGTTTTCCACGGTGAGATACCGCGCCCGATCAGGCGCGGATTACATTTTTCCGCTTCGCCTTTGCGGCCGATCAATTCGTACCTCGCATCTGGCGCGGACCACTGATATTCTCACGCCTAACCCTCGCGAGGTAAGGTCTGCGAGTTTGGATCTCGCAAAGACTCGCAGACGGTCTGACGGCTCGCGCGTCGCGTCTGCTGAAACGTAAACGTAAACGCAAACGCGTAAACGCGTCGCGCTCGCGCTTTTAATAGGCTCTGCTTTCGCGTTCGATTTCACGAGCGTGTACAAATTCTCCGACTTCACACGTCGATAATCCTGCCGATAAACCCCCCGCCACCGTGATGCGACCGAGAGAAGAATTGATCTCCGGTGAATGAACGTCAAGAATTATTGAAAAAAGAAATAAATAAAGAAAAGACAAGAAAATAACACTCAGCGCAAATAATCCTCGAAACGCGTCCAATCTAATATCACTAATTTCAAGGATGCTTGCTCATTCTCTGCACGACCGGCGCGCGCAATATACCGAAACGGTCAGGACGGTCTCAGCGCTGCACAGGAGGAGATTACCAAGCTGGTCCCACGCTGAAACTTCCGCGCACCGCGCGAGGGCCGCGCACCGAGCACACGTAAATTAGCGCGCATCGATTATTTACCGGACGTCGTCTAATCGAGAAGCGATTACCACTTTCAGCGATCCATCCAACGTAGCGACATCACTGACCCCATGCCCATTTCGCATTCACAGTAAACTCACAGAAACGCTAGCGAACGTAAACGTAATAAACGAAAACGAAAGAAAGCAAATATGCGTTTATACGCGTGATATATATATATGTATATTTGTAATTAACGAGAACCGCAATGCCATATATATAGTCACTCTCACACCGTGTAGCTTGGCCGCGGCCGGAAACCGGCGACTCAGTCTTACTAACCTTCGATTTCAGGTCCTCCCGTCGAGGTGGGCGTCACCATGTACGTCTTGAGTATCAGCTCCCTATCCGAAGTGAAAATGGTACTACCTCTAGGTCTTAATCAGTAATTCCGCTGAAACTTACTCATTTTTATCTATCGTTCGGCTAAAGAAAAGGAAAGAAACACGATCCGCCCCCCCCCCAGCCCCCTCGCCGCCATCGACCCCTCTCTCCCCCGCGCCGGTCTCTTTGCCCAAGCAACCACATTTTTTTAGTGCCCGTGTACTTTCAAGTCGACGACTGCCGCTGATCGTTACCGAATTGCAATCAACATCTGATCACTAGACATGTACAACACAACACACACATACAGAGAGGAAGACACATTCACATCCCTGGGAGACACGAATGCGGGTACATAATCAGTCTCACACACACATACACACACAAACATAGTCTGTACATACACGCGCACATAAATGTGCAACACCCTTCCCGTTGTTTTTCTCCTCTGTTCTCGATCACTCTCGCAACGAATGTCCGGCTAGAACGATCACTGTTTTCGATTATTCAGTCACGTGTACAAAATCAGAGATCACATCACGCCATATAATGTTCACTCTGTCTATCTGTGCTATGTGTGTTTGTAGTTTTAATTAAGACACGTGAACGTCCTAGCGTATCTCGTCGAGAAAGCAGGTATCCGATCCGAATATCGGCGCCGCGCGTTCAGATAAATGGTTTGTTTCGAGAATCACACCATAGGGACGAGACGAGACAGAGAGGGGGAGAGAGAGAGAGAGAGAGAGAGAGAAGGAAAGAGAGAGAGGGAGCAAACGACACCGTGTCGATCTCATCGACAGTCGACACTTGCATCTGTACGCTATTCTGTGCGGTACGCTATTCTATCTATTTATCTATCTATCTATCTCTTTCTCTCTCCTCCCTCTCACCCCCCCCTCTCCTTTTCTCTCTCGCTCTGTCTGGCTGTCTCTCTCTCTCTCTCTCTCTCTTTCTCTCTCTCTCTCTCTCTCTCTCTCTCTCTCTCTCTCTCTCTCTCTCTCTCTCTCTCTCTCTCGACGCCTCTCATGTCGCCCGCACCGTCGGTCGCCTCGAAACGACGAGTAATTCGTAAATCACTCGGCGCCGTTAATCACGCGCTAATTGGGGCGATACTTTGAGCGGGTCGGCCCTCCAACAAACGACTCGTTGTTTAATACGTTCGCCGGAGCGTGAATTATCTCCATTGCCTAACGATCGCCATCGTGATTATTTCGCTCCGAACGCGTGCATATAACGATCGATTAATTGCAGCTCTACGGGCCCGCGGCTTTAATCTCGCCGTGTTCCGGGGGGCGCAACGAAGGAAACTTGGTCCTCGGGGCGCCGGAACGAGGGACTCGTCTCGCCGTCGCACCGTCGATAGCTCGACGCCGCCGCCGCCGCCGCCGCCGCCGCGGTACCTCACCGATCGCCGGCCCGACGATGAAATTAGTTCGCTTGCCGTGCACAGAGCCGCATCGCTCAGGGCTATGTGCCTCTTTGATGTGCCGTTCGTTTAGCGGTGACGTTTGGAACCGCGACAATCGTGTAACACGATTACCGGGACGATTCGGCGCGGCTCGCTCCGAGGGACTGCATCGCCCGCCACGGCACGAGAGAGACGACGTCCAATTTCTTGGCGCGTTAGCCTCGGGGTCGATCGAACGCAAGTGTGCGGGGAAAAAAAAGGAGCAATCGGCGCCTCGACGTCTCGATGTCGACGTCGCGCTCGCGTCGAGTTCGCAGAAACTCGAAATACAAAAATGAAGTCGCGCGGCTACGCGACGTTTCTCGCGTGGCCGAATCGAGCGGCCTTTTGCAACAGGGCTTTTGCAACTCGGTATATTTGCGAAACGCGCGTTTAAATAAATTTTCACCGTCAAAGAGGCGAAGGTGTTTTTTCAATCGTTGCTTATTAACTGAGCTCGCGAGCTCTCCCAGCGAACGCGGCACAGCCGTGAGATTTGTATCGCTCTCGATTAATCGGGAAAATCGGGAAGAATTAATCCGTTTGATATTTCGACAGCACTCTGACGGGGCACTCTTTGGCTCACGTTCGGTCTTCTCGTTTGACATCGGATCAAACGCGTCGGCGGCGGCCGAGCGTCGATCGATACTCCGCTAAAGAGGAGAACGACAGTTCGAAACATTTTTATCGCTTGAATTTTCGCGTAAGCCGCTTCTCGCTCGCGATATCCCCGGTGTCAACTTCTCCTCGCTTCCGTCACACACGACGAAACTATATTTCAATTCGTGCGCGTCCCGCTAGACGGGCACTTTACTGTTACTGTTCGTCTGGCGCGAGAAGCTGCGAGAGCTACACGAGCGCGCTGCATAAAAATGCCAATTTAGCGCTCCGCCCGGTAAGACGCGCCCTTAACTTCGCGTTGGCGCACGGTAGCGATTACGCGGCGCGGTTCACCGCTTGTACTTGGAAACTACCGAAATGAAGGCAACCGAGCCGAACTCGGTCCCCTAACTCGCTTGATATATTTGTAGTTCCTTCATGGCCCGTACCGCTTATCGCGGTACACTACCGGTTTACACCGACGCAGAATTGAATGTGCGCGTGTATGAATCTTACACGCACTCTTCCATAAACACACACACGCACACACACAACACAACATACGTACATACATAGACACACAGAGACTCTCTAGTAGCGAGCAACAGAAAAAAGAACACTACCAAAAATGGACAAAGTACTATTTCATATTTCAGATAATAAATATATACATATATATACTGGCTGTCCTCGTTCTGCGCTCGGGAAACGGGGCTGTAGTTTCAGCGACTGGTAACCGCGAGATTGTGCAGTGACTGCGGTCGCGAATCGAGCTAGACCTAGCTAAAAAAAAGCTAAAAAAAAAAAAAGCAAAAAGAAAAGGGGAAGGGACGACGAAACAAGCCCCGGATCGTTCTAAATTATTGCGAGAAAGATCTCCATTCGCGGACCGAGGATTTATTTCAACGGGGAGCGCCCCCTTAAAGCGGACGTTCGCTGCGCGACTCTCGTCCGCGCGAGAAGCGAATTGTATTGACGGTGAAGACGCTATTAAAAGTTTCGACGTTATAGCCGGGGAGAGGTAGCAGGCGGGGAAACATGAATCGGCGCTGAGACGAGCTTCCAGTTGCCTCGACTGCCTCCGTTTACCGTGGAAAAGTTAGCTCTCTGATCTCCTGCCTGACTCTGAGCCTGGGCTGCCCCGAACGTCACGTAGTGTTAGAGAGAACGTGAATGAGGAGCGTCTTTATTGCTTTCTGCTCTCAGGGAAAATAGTATTTTGTTCAATACTGGATATATATATATATATGTATATATGTATATATATATATATATATATATATTAAACACGCACGAACATCCCGTTTAGACCGTTCTTTAGACGCTAGCTGCTATGCCGCGGTTGCTGAGATGGGCTGCCGCCTGCCACTACTTACGATTATTATTATTATTATTATTATTACTCTATGTCCCGCCGCCCGAGAGAAATCCGCCCTCGCCCGCCGCCCCTCTCTGCCCGAACACCCTCAGCCCCCCTCTCTGTCTGATCACCGCACGTAATCACACACGTTCGTGTAATGAACACGAGAGAGAACACCCTCGATCGACGCCTCGATCAGTATCCGCCGATCAGTTCCCTCCAGCGATTCTATTTCGTTTTCTTTTCTCTTTCTTTCTTGGAATCAATTCAAGGCATCCCTTCATCCCCTACCCCCGACCCCCCCCCCGACCGAAAAAAGAAAGCTAAAGAAAATTCAATCACGAAATCGGAATCGACAATCGCAGTGACAATGACAGCAATTCAATGGTAGAGTAACGATGTCGTTGTACAAACGTTCGACACGATGACGCGTCTCTCTTGATGACGGAGGGACGTCCGATGTAGGGGTGCGAGAAATCGTTCTAAAACCAGTCAGATTTCTCCGAGAGATACGTACACTTGTGTAGCCGTGACGAGCCTAATTGGATTACGACGTGACACGTGATCAGCAAAACGAGACGCGATTGTGCACAGAGAGAAAGAGAGAGAGAGAGAGAGAGAGAGAGAGAGAGGGAGAGAGAGAGAGAAAGAGAGAGAGAGAAAGAAAGATTGATGGAGAGAAAGGGAGAGAACGAAAGAGAGAAAGAGAGACGAAAACGCAACACTGTAGAGCGACGCGGTACGAGACGAAAGACAGTAGTAGTAAGGTAAAGTCGTACACTGCTGCGTAGCTGTGATGTGTATGTAATATACGTAAAAGCGTAAATGCCTATGTAACGAGACTAGTCTTGAATGATTCTTCTAGCATGGAAGGCAACGTGGCCGACGACGACGAGTCCTGTTGATTTGGTTCCGTGCAGGGTGCGAGCTCTCCTCGTCTTGGTCTGCTTGCGCTTTGCCTCTGGCTCACACGAACGGGCGCGCGCGACGTTTCCGAGCAACAAAAAAAAAAAAAAAAAAAAAAAGAAAGAAAAGAGAGAAAAGAGAGACGAAAAACAGCTCGCACCCCTTCCGCGGGAGGGGAGGTGAGAATTGATCTCTCAGATTTATCAGAAGAAGAGCTCGCGGGGAGAATGTGTCGGCCGAACCTAACGAACGGACGAACGAACGAACGAATGAACGAACGATTGCGTTCACACGGATTCGCACGACAGCGATAGGGATTCCGGATGATTCTTCTGATAAATGCGTCGTCATTAGCGAAACACGAAGCGTACCGCGCGTCCACGCGACGTACGAATGCAAGAGAGAGAGAGAGAGAGAGAGAGAGGGAGAGAGAGGGAGAGGGAGAGAGAGAGAGAGAGGGAGAGAGAGAGAGAGAGAGAGAGAGAGAGGGAGAGAAAGAGAGCATTTTGAGAGATGTCGAAAATGCTGAGGCGCGAGCGCGTGAGTCAGAGGTGAAGGGAGTTCCGGCACTGTATACTACTGTTACTTATTATCGTTGTTTAGATATAGCCTACCTACTTAACGTACACGATAGGTCGTACACAGTTGATTAGAGATTGGCGGGTAATCACAGCGACCAAGGCCGGATGGTTTTGTTGATTGCAGGTCCGCCCGTGGAGGTCGGC